ATGTGCTTCTGTCTTTGACATTTCTGGAGGGGCCAATAACATGAAAAAGCCACATAAGTGGGTAACACCTCAGCACACGGTGTTGTCTAAAAACCAGGAAGACAAAGACCTCGGGACATTCCATTTACATCAATTTATTGTGTATTTCAAAATAACTAGGAGAATTCAAAGGTCCCCACCATAAAAATTGATAATTTTAAAATAATTTGGTCAAAATTTGATATCCTAATTTGATAGTGTACACTATATGCATAAATCGAATTATCATAATGGACCCTATAAATATGTACAATTATTATGTGTCAATTAAAAATTTTAAAAAGAAGAAAAAGAAAGAAATCCAATCCAGGAATTTGACTTTTCAAATTTCCTGGTTTCTTCCTATTGTCAGACAATGGGACCCACCTTATTTTGCTCTTTGCTTTGGCTGTTAGGTGCCCGTAGCTAACACATTCAAATAGCATCATTTTTTTTTAAATGTGCATTTTGTTCATTATCCAATACTTGTGTATTTCTTAAGAATTAGAAAACAGAGACAAGTATTAGAAAAAAATTATCCCCTCCCTCTACCACAACTGTTACTATTTTTGTCTTTCATTTCTTTACAGTTTTCATGTGATTTTGTTTAAAGAGATTTTTCTTTTCACAGAGATGTAATCCTGCATTCATAAATTTGTGGCTTGCTTTTTTCAACTTGATAACTAGAATATGTTTGTGTTATCATAACATCATTAAAAGATGTATAATATTCCATCAGGTAGATCAAGGGTCTACAAATATGTTCTGTGAAGGGCCAAATAGTAAATATTTTAGTGTTTCAGGCCATACTCCTTTCATACCAAGTACTCAGCTCTGCTGCAGAAGCACAAAACAGCCATGGATCTTTTGTAAATGTTGGGTGTGGCTGCGTTCAAATAAAACTTTATTTACAAAAGCAGGCTGTCCATTGGATGTGGCCCACAGGCTGTCATTTGCCAACTCCTGACATAGATGTGTCCCCATTTTGAGTGCTGTTCTATCCCTTTCCAATCTTAGCACTTAGATTTGCTTGTAGTGTTCAGTGTTTTATGCCTAAAAATAATGCTCTGCAGAATTTACTTCATATTTTTCCTTTGACTATATTTTGGGACAGTAAGTTTGGGGAAAAATGGATATAGGCTTCCATCCAGGTTGCAAGTGTGTGAGCCTGGACAAGTTCCTCTTTGAACTGCCTGTTTCGTCATCCATAGAGAGAATGAAAAGATCAACTGCACAGGATTGTCGCAGGGTTCTATGTGATCCTTTGTCCCAGAACCTTGCACAGTGCCAGGCAGATGGGAGGACTTAATATATCTCTTAAGTTGAGTTGCCTTGGACACTAGTCTTAGGACTGCTGGGAAATAGATACATAGATAACGTGTTTAGGAGAGAGAGAGAGAGAGAGAGAGAGAGAGAATATGATCCAGTGCCCACCATGTGGTAAGCCCTAAAAAATTAATTGACAGGTGAATGAATTAACAGGACTTTAAAGTCAAATAGGCCCAGTTTTGTCATTTGTTAGTTATATGATCTTAGACAATGCACTTCTCTCTACAGATTCACCTTCTGTATTAGTCACTTTCCCATCCCTGGGACAAAATACGTGACACCTGCAACTTAAAGGAGAGGTTTATTTTGAATCATAGTTTTGATGGGTTCAGCCCATGGTCAGCCAGCTCTGAGGCAGAATCGGCGTGGTGGAAGGGACTGGGAGAGGAAAGCTGCTCACCTCATGATAGCCAGGACGCAAACAGACACACCGAGAAGGGAGAGCCAGGGACAGGAACCCACACATCAGGTCATGCCCCCAGGGACCTATCTCTCCCAATCAGGCCCTACCTGAGAACACTGAGATGTTGGGGATATTTTAGATTTAAAACTCAGTACCTTCTTTCAAGGCAAAATGGGTTAAATGAACAGAGACATCAGTAGGTGCTCAAAGATGAGGAGACTGTAGCATGGATGTGATGAGATCAGGATGCCCAGGATGCCTAGAACCCTCACCACTAGGCAGGTGACCCACCAAGCCATGGACATAAAGCTGCCTGGAGAAGCTAGAGACGGTCTCGATGCCTGGACTGGCTGTCTCTTCCCCGCTGAATCTGCCTGTGCACCAGCAACTGGGGATTGCTGGGGCCAGACCTCCAGCAGCCCTTCACCCTGTCCATCAGTCCTTAAAGCCCAGGTGCTTCCATCTTCCAAGGAAGTATTGCACCCTCTCAGCACCTAACGTGTTCATCAGGGATCTCACTTGTGTTGGGCCTTGTGCTAGCTACTGGGAATTACCAAGCTGGACGTCATTCACAAAGAAAAATGAGTGCACCTAAGCCTTACCATGTGTCAGGACACTGTGAGGCACTGTTCACGGATTAGCTCCTCTAATTCTTACAACAACCCCACAGTAACTATTAGCTTCTCTTTATAGATGAAGACATTAAGGTACAGAGAGATTAAGCAATTTTCTCAACCTCCCACAATTATTGCCAGTGCCAGAATTTGAACCCCAGCAATTTGAGATCAGAATTCGTATGCTCAACTGCCCTTCCACTATTATGGCTCTCTAGTCCCTGCCCTCATGGAACTTAGATTCTTCCTTTTATTCTCTTTTTCTTTTCTTTTTTATTAGTATATGTTTGTCATACAGAATAATGATGTTCATTTTGGGGGACTGGTACATGCATGTAACATATCTTGATCGTTTTCAATCCCTTTACCCTCTTTTCTGTTTTCTACAACCTCCCCTTCATCCCATTTTCCAAGATTCTATCTCTTAAAGCAGGCAGGTTAAAATAATAGCAACAGCACTTTGAGTCCATTTTATTTGCTGAGAAGCAACTGGGCAGTGAGAATTCTTATAAAGTACTTGATGTCAGCTGGCCAGCAGGAAAGAATCAAGGTCATAGGTGTGATTTTGAATCATGGTAGATCGAGGTGGTGTCAAACTGCTGTGTGCCCTCTGGAAAGATTTGTCACCTCTGGAGCCTCTACTTCTTTATTTAAAATAGATCATCAGCATCCGTTCTGTCTGCCTCCAGGTATCTTTGCGGAGGCTAAATGAGATAGTAGGTGGGAATAAGACTTCAAAGTGGAAAAATAAATCACTGGGCAACAGTTTCAAAGTGAAAAATTCAGTATGGGGCTTGCCTAGCATCCACAAGGCCATGGGTTCTATTCCCAGCCCCAAAGGGGGCAGGAGGCAAGCTGGTATCAGTTCAATGAATGAACAAATGATTTTACCAGCCCTGCAGATAGACTCTGGGAATGACAAATGCCTCCCTTCAGGCACACCTCATTGGTGTATTCGAGGGCCCAATAAGACTTTGTGTTTTGGGCCAGACCCCACATCCCTGCCCCTTTAGTTATTTTGCATCTGCTTTTATGTGAACCTCCAAGGCTGATTTAGTAATCATTTATTAATGCCTTTTGGAGATAAGCCTTCTGCCCAACTCTGTAGGGAGACAGAGATAAATTTGGAATGGTCTCTGCCCTAAGGAGCTCATGCCTAGGACAAGAAATGGTAGATATACTAATAATAATAGAATAAAAACAATGACCACTAGTTATCGAGCATTTACCATGTGTCAGGGAGTCTGTTGAGATTTTGTATACATTACTTCATTCAATCACTACCATCCTTCGAATTATGAAAACTACTGCCCGCCCCCTTTTACATGGGAGAAAGAAGATTCAGACAGGTTAAATAACTTAGCCCAGGCTCACACAACCCTGAAGTGATAGAGCTGGGCACGAACCTGAGAGAAACCTGTGAATCCTCATAAATCGATTCTAAAGTAGAAATGACTGTGTTCTCTAATAGAGGTGAAGGACAGGCCTGTCTGGGTTAGGACAGGAGAGGTGACAGCGGTGCCATGGCTCATAGTCATGGTGATGGCACTGACGGGGAGGAGGGTAGGAACCATGGCAATGATAATGATCCTCTGCTGGGTGCCAGGCCCTGACCTGGGTGCCTCCTACTATCCCATTTAATTCTCATAAGAGCTTTCCAGCGTCAGGATTATCATCTCCATCTTACCCCTGGGGACTCGGAGCTTCAGACAGAGCTGATGACTGCCCTGGGCACACTCCCCTCTCTGCCCCGACCATGCTCTGCCCCTAACCATCCCAGACCTGCGGGCCAGGAGCATCTCAGAGATGCTCCATATGTATCCGTTGAAGGAATATTGAATAGCTGGATCCCCTGGGAGCTTGAAACCTTAATCCCAGGGGACAAAACCAATGCCTTGAAAAAGTACGTGTGTAACCATGATTTAAATCTATGTGGTGGTGCTGTGATTACTGAAATGCACGTTAAGTGCAAAGCATTGTGTTCCTTGTAGTTTTGTATTGTTGTGAAGACACTTGAAGAGTGCAGCTACCATCAGGAGAAGTTCTGAGAAACTTTTGCACACAAGAGGGGTCCGTGTGCTTCCAGTGCTGCCAGCGTCCCCGTCCCACACTGCATGTTCAAAATGCTTTGCCCACTGTACGGTGATGATGTGGAGGAAGGAAGCCAGCCTCCAGACTGGGGACAAAATCCTGGGGCCTTGGTCCTGGATCTACACCGTCTTTCTCACTACACATAGCTGGTGCTCTCAGTGACTTCATCTCCAAGACACCTGGCACCAACTTCCCAAACGGCTGCCAGATGTGCTTGTGAATGAATGAGAGATGAAGGAAACCATGAGTGTGTTCAGTACTCAGGGAGCCCGTAACGGCCATTCCCCAAGGCGTGTATGAAAGTGAGACTCCCAGGCCAGGCAGGCTGAGAACGCCTGTGGGTCTGCAGGGGTGGGTGAGCAACCAGGACGTCCACTCTGGGGGTGGGGTGCTGAGGCTGTGGCGACATACTGGGATCCTGGTCTCCACCCTGCAGTCCCCGTGCTGGGGAAAGGGCTGTGCACTCCATGTGAGGATGCATGTTTCAGACTCACATGCAAGTTGACAGATGGTGGTAGATAATCTCACTCCTCTCCTTCTCACAGGCCTCCCTCCGACACAGGCCTCCCTCCGACACAGTCCTCGGAGCTTTAGAAATCTCTGACACATCTCCACCATGATGGTACAGCTGATGCCTGCCAGGTAAGCTCTCCCCAGTAGCCCATGCCACAGGCACAGCCTAGATGCTGCTGGCCATGCCTGGTGGCCAGAAGGTAGGTGGGCATGACCTCAACCTCATGCAGAATGGACCCACATATGCAACTGAGGCTCTGGGAAGGAGCCGCCCTGTTCCCAGTGTTCTGCACTGGCACCAGTGTCCAGTGCCCAGGACATGCTGGTGGGAGAGCCCTGGAAGGAGAGCCAGGGAGCTGGCCCTGACCCCAGATCTCTGCCTCTGCCTCCCTGGAAAGTCTCGAGCAAACACCTGGCTGTCTGGGGCTCTGTCTATAAAATGAGGCATTGGGACTCAGTGGGCAGAGCAGCCCCTGCCATGGGCAGAGTGGCAGTGAGGGTGGCACAGCAGTTGCAGGCCTCCCTCCCAGGATTCAGACTCCCATTAGTTGCTCTGGGGGCCTCACACTGATAGACAGCACTGGGCCTAGTGTGTATGTGCTGGTCGGTGCACTCGTGGGAGGGGCATGCATCCCTTCCTCTGACACGCAGCCCTCCAGATCTCCTCCATTCCACTGGAGGAGATAAATGTGCAGAGAGTCACAGTACAGCAAAACCTGGGAGGCAAGGCGGGGTCCATTCTGTCTCCGGTTTAGTTGTGGGGTGGCTCAGAGAGGACTAGTAAAGGATACACTTGAACTGGGCTTTGATAGATGTGTAGAAGTTTATCAGGAACTTCCTGCCATGGAAGAGGCGTTTTCTGGGCTAAAGTGACAGCAAATGAAAAGGGAGTGCCTGGGACCAGGACACAAGAGGAGTAGGTGGAGGTGAGGCTGGGAGGGCACAGGATCCTGAATACTGTGCTAGGGAGCTGGGTTGAGTCCCTCATGAATATGAAAGGGAGGCAGTCAGCTCTGAAGTTCTGACGCCTGCGCCTGGGGAGAGATAGAGTAGGTGTCCGCCTTAGAGCCTGTTGAACTGCAGCAGGGGGCGTGGGCTGCAGGCCCTCACTGATGAGTCTGCCGCTGGTCTCTCATGCTCAGAGCCCCACTGTGGATGGCTGCTCTGTCCACATGACCCTGTGGCTCCAGTGCTGGTGTCACACCTCTCTCAGCCTCCCCTCTCCTCCAACCCATAGCCAAGTGTCTCCTGCCCCAAAGCAGTTTCTGTGTGGTGAATATTTTTCAGTGTTGGAGTTTTATAGTTTCTTCTCTGGGTGGGACCCAGGACACTATCACGTTGTTGTGGCATGGAGCATAGAAAGAGTGGGCTCCAGAGCCAGTGAGGGTTGCCCTGATGCCCTGCTTTCCCTTCCTGTAGGGAGCAAGAGCCCTGTGAGTGTCAGGGTCCCACTGGTAAACACCTGCCTCCCTAGACAGTCCCAGGATCAAACATAAAAGATCGTGTGCAAGGCTGCCCTGGCCCGGTGTGCTGCAGTCGGCCTTAGGTTCTGTGCTCCTCCGCCAGCTCCTGTCCCTGCCATGCAGTGGGTGGCTAGAAAGACCCATGGGTGTTTCGGTTGAAAAGGTGGCACAGGTGCCTTAACCAGAAGTGAGGCCAGGGGCCTTGACTTTCCTTGGAAAATCATTCAGCTGGAATTCCACTGCAGGCACTGGGGAACTCTGGGGCTGGACAGTAATAGGATGGTCCCTTCCGCACACAAGCAAAGGAACAGAGAGGCCGCATGAGAAGGAGGAGCAGCAGCTGATGCACTGTAAGAGCCACTCCGCAGTGGCTGTGATGGCTCTTACTGAGGGCACAGGGGTCAGTGGAGCCTGTGAGAACAACAGGCCTGCAGGAAGTGGGCAGAGGGAGGCCCAGGCGGAGGGCCTGGCACATGCAAGGCCTGGCTGTGGGAAACCTCCAGAGCACAGGGGCCCCAGAAGCCAGTGTTTCCAGCAACCTTCCCAGCATTCTGGGAAACTCAGCACCTGGCCCTCATCAGCTCAGCTGTCACCTGGAGCATCAGCTCTGAGACCCGGCCCCCGCAGCTTAGGAGGAACTCCAGTGAACTTCTAAGATAAGAGCCGAGAGGTGGCCTCCGATGCCAAGTCAGGCAGGAGGCTCTTGGCTGTCTGGACCATGGCTGAGGACACGGGCCAGCTCCAGTCTCTGAGGGAGCATGGAGATGGCCTTTGTGCTGGGGGTTGGGAAAGAAAGGATAAAAGTCAGGGTTAGGAGGCCCCCCAAACCGTCACTGCATGGCCACTGATGCTCGAACTGAGGTGCTTGAAGGGCTATGGGACTGTAGAGGAGACAGCGGCCAGAGGGTGAGGGCAAGGTGGGCACCATAAGGAGGGAACCTGAGCCAGATGGTCACAATAAAGTTAATCATGGCTAATGGTTACCATGCACTTATGGCATGCCAGGTACTTTCATAAGAGCTTTAGATGGATTTACAGTCTGTTTGTACAACTCCAGTGAGGCAGGTGCTGTTAACACCCTCTTTCACTGCTGAGAACCCATGCACAGAGAAGGTGTATAATTGGCCCCAGCACACACGGCTAGCAAGTGGCTTAGCCGTGTTGAACCCAGGCAGTTGCCTGAGTCTGTGCTCAAATGGCACTGGGTAGCCTCTTTCTGTAAGCGCTATGGGTACCTGCAGGACTGGGGCTAAGTCCGCCTTGCTTTAGTGCACAGTAGTAAAACTGACTTCACTAATGAGAATGCACAGAGGCATGATAAATTGGGCCCTGAAGAGCTGGGAGGAGAAAATGAGAGTGGTGATGGGATTCTCAGGCAGAAGGGCAGCCAGAACAAAAGGCTCGGGTCAGGGTTCCTGGAGTTGCAGCGATGCACTACCAGGCTTGGGGCGCTGGTGAGCGGAGGGGGCCACCTAAGGAACCTGGCCCCTTCTGGCTTTCCCCAGCCAGTCTGCCCCACTTGAGGAAATGGAGGGGCCCTGACCTTTGTGCCCCACATCCTAGCTTGTCACCTGTTCTCTCCGAGGCCCTGGTGGGCAGATCTGGCCTCAGGACCAGAAGCCCCAGGAGGGAAAAATGTGGCCAAAGTAGCTCTGGGAAGCCCATCTAAAACTCGCCTTTGTAAGGGGCTGCTGTCTGAATGCTCCAGGCTGTAGGAGCAGGGGATAGGTTTTGTTTCATTTTGCTTTGCTTTTCTTCTTTAAACTCGTTGGGCTGCAGATGGAAAATTAGGGTTGGGACGTAGCTCTGTGGCTTCCCGGCTGGGGATCAATAAGTAAATCAATTCATATCTCTACCTCAGTTTCCGTCTGCATCAGGTGGGTATGAAGCAACTGCAGGAATAAATGGGGCAGGGCGAGGGAAACTCCAGTTCAGCACCAGCCCCAGGGCAAAGAAGTTTCTGGGCTGCTTTACTTGTAGGCCTCAATTTTCTCCATAAAATGAGGGGTTGGAGAATGTTGCTCTTTAACACCAGCCAGCCATGTAACTGTGTTTACACACACACACACATACACTACATGCCAAAAAGCAAACACAATTTAGTTGTTTTGTATATTTAATATAAATATGTAATTTAGAGCCTCTTCTCTTGTGTTCTTTTCTGATTATAAAAGTAATGCATATTTATTAAGAAAATTTTGCAGAGTACGGGAAAAGGAAAAACTTCACCCACTATTTCACATCCCTGACTGAGCTCTTCACTGAATCTTCTCTTACCCTTTCTCTGGGTTTATACATACACACATTTAAATATATATACAGATTTTCCTTGTTTTGCAGCCTACCTATTTAACAACTGTTCAGACTTACAATGCAAGGCTCAGCCTTACCAGCCATCTTCTTTTTTTCAGTTCTGTACACCTTGTTTATGGAGCCTCAGTGTCTTTTTGTACAGTGCACCTTATTTATACAGTACTGTAATTCTTGCTGATTATACAGTAAAATACTGTAGCTTTATTTTCTGTTCTCTTGAATGTAAGAGTTATGCAAAGAAAAGAAAAGCAAAGTCATCAAATTGGAGTTTCCTTTGACCATTTATTTGTTGTGACTATTGTAATGTATATACTATATACAATTCCTTTATATATGGATTACAGTCTGCATTCTGTTTTCATTGTCGTTGTTTTGGTACTGGAGATTGAACTCAAGTCCTTGCACTTGTGAACTCCATTCTGTTTTTTAACCTTACCTGGCCACAGCTGTCTGTCCCAGTGCCCAAGAGGAACCAGGGATGCCAGATGCCAGGCTCCCCCACTCCTGCTTGGGCAGCTGCCTAGAGGCATCATATGGATTACAGTCTGCATTCTGTTTTCATTGTCGTTGTTTTGGTACTGGAGATTGAACTCAAGTCCTTGCACTTGTGAACTCCATTCTGTTTTTTAACCTTACCTGGCCACAGCTGTCTGTCCCAGTGCCCAAGAGGAACCAGGGATGCCAGATGCCAGGCTCCCCCACTCCTGCTTGGGCAGCTGCCTAGAGGCATCTGACCTTCGGATGTTCTGTGTCTCTGGCGGGTGCACATTTGACACTAATTTTAGCTCAGCCTTTCAGTCCTTCTGGCCTTGGGGCCCACACATAATGGACGCCTTATGTAGATAGCTGCCGACAGTGCAGGAAGAAGCGTCCCACCTTAGAATGTTCCTCGTTGCCCGCCAGTGCTCTGCTGTTGGAGAACAAGCCAGCTCCCTGTTCCTTCTCCCCATGGGAAAGGGGCCCTTGTTAACATTCAGGGCCCAGCAAGCTGCACCCAGGGCAAGTGGCCCACCTAACACACTTGGGGGACTGCGTCTCTGGACAGACCTGTGTTTTTATAGGATGGCTTCAGTTTGAGCTGGAACAGCTGAGAGAGACTTCTAGAGGACTTTCTGGGGCTGTGGATGTCTGCAAGGTCCTGGGGTGTGTGTTCTGAGCCTGCTGGAGCCTCCTCTTACTGCTTCACATTGGTTGGAGATACACAAAGGGACAATGTCATTTGACTGATGGTAATCCCAAGTTTTTGGTGGCAGCATTTCCATTTTACAGAGGATGAGATGGGACAGTCATTTGCTGTAGATCACACTGCAAGTCAGTGGTAGGTACTTAAACATGAACTAGGGTCTCTGTCCC